ATCACTACTTTTAATTTGACTCGAAGCTAGTGACGCCGTTTCATATCTCGTCACAGGTGATTGTAACTAGTGACGTGAAATAACGCTCACGTCTAGTTAGGGACCCTAAACCTAACTTAGAGTGTAAATACTGTATTGTAATAAACTTAGATTTAAAAATCAAACATACTTTCAACTTATTCTTTACTTTATTTGTCGTAGTTTGTAACCCTTATTTTTTCCAATTCTCAATGTTCATTTTCATCAATAAAATTTAGTATTCTACCAAAAAGTAATTTCTGCTTGCCTGTCGCAAAAATAAATTTTGTAGAATTAAGAGCTAATTTAGCTAGCTCGGCTTTATCCAATTTAAATGTATCGATGCAAATACTATATTCTTGAGTCAGAGATGTAGCAAAAACTCCTTTATCATCGGTCTGAAAATGAATTAAAAAGTATCATATTAGATTTAAAAAAAGGACAAGTATAAAGAAGTAAAAAATAAACTTACACAAAGAATAACTGGAACATCACTACTAAGTAAGTATTTAAAATGGTGTGAAGAATAATCTGCAACTGATTTTGTATTTACATTACTGGTAAGACAAACCTCTGAAACGAAAATCATAGTTAATAAATTATAATACTTGCTCCTTTAAGCATTTTTAAATCATTGATCAGATTACATTTGAACTGGTCCTGCAAGCACTCCAAAAGGGTTTTCATTCAAAAAAATCTATACCTTTTTTTAAAGCGCTTATCTACTTTTATTTACTCTACGCTTATTATTTTCATTCTTATTTTTAGATTAATAATTCAAACATACCAACAGGAATTTTTGATGTACATAGCGCCTCCCAAGTTTGTTTAGTACCACCAAAATTTGGGTGAATACATGTCCCATGACCAATCCTATCTGGTTTGAATTGTAGCATTTGAATTACTTCTTCTGGATTACTTATTTCACCACAATGTAGCGAAATCTGAAAGTAAATATTCAATATAGTTTAATAAACAATCTAACTCTGTATCTGACAAAGGTTGATTGTGCAAACATATTTGAAATTTGGCATAGACATAAAGGATAGTCTGGAAGAACACATAGGCTACTTATAATTAATTATTTACGGCTTACTCACGTATACTTTTCTTTTTCCGGTGACGGTACCGACCAGTTTCAG